CTGCTGATTTCTGCACAGCAAGCGGCTACTGAAGGCAAAGGAGCTGGCAAGGCTGGTTTTTTTATGATTAGCTAACAATAGAAATCAGATGATATACATAAAGCACATAGGGTTGCATCCAATTAAGTCATACTCAGAGTAGACCACTGGAAAGCCATGGACTCAAGTTATGTCATCTTTGTTGATTTCAGTGGGTCTACTCTAATCGTGACTTAGTCAGATACAGCCAGTTTAAATGGATCTCGTTTTGCTTTTGGTTCATTTCGTTCTTGCTCAGTATCTCCTTCAGCTCATTTGGCAACACACAACACAGACATAAAAGAAAATGAGAGGCCCCTCTTTTAGTAGTGGTGATGCACAATACAGAATTATTTTATGAGTATGAGGTATGTGATAAGGCCAGCATAGTTTAGTAGTGAATCTGGGAAATAGCTTTAATTTTCTTTTCTGTATTATACATTTCCTAGGCTGCCTGTATAGAAAGAAATGTGGCTCTTTAAGTTTATTTTCATTTTCATTGGAACCATTCAAGCAAGTAGCCGGCATCCTTTGTTCTGCTTTGCAATGTGTAGCTTCTTTGACAAGCTTTTCTCATTGTAGAAGCAGTTTGAAAATATTGGAATTATTGGTGGCATCCAGATTATTTTAGAAATGAGCAGCAATATACTTTTATTCTATTTTTTTATTTAAAAGAAATAGTTTGCTAGAGAATAATTTACCTATTGATTGAACAAATATACATGAAAAATTTACCTTAAAGCATTGAGACATCAATGTTTTTAGGGGTTCCAATGAAAACAGTACATCCCAGAATCCACAGAAAGCCCCAGAGGGAAAACTCATAAAAACATTTAATGCAAAAGAATTAAATGTATGATGTCTAATTAATAAATTGTGGGATACATTGCTGAACATAAATCGATTCTTGGAGTTTACCTTGATTTACCTATTAGGACTGTAATCCTATGACAGAAAGCAGGGTGCAGGAGAAAGTGCATCAAAAACTACTGGTAGATATCTCAGTGATTTGAAGTAGATCTCCAAGGATTTCTTTTTCTAAATTGTTTGACAGCAGCAGCAACTAAAAGCCTCCTTCCACCCCCTGAAAAAAAATTAGATTGCTGAAAAAGAATGCTTGAAGGGAATTTGAGAGTAGTGGGAACTCGTTTCAAAAGATTTGTGACACTAGTTCTGGTATGGATCACAGATTCCTGAGCTGAGCATGTGCACCCTGTTCCTTAACAGGCAGACAAGCTGCTTGAGCCACTCTTTTGCATCTACCCCCAGCTGATGGATTCAGGTATCCAAGAGATCCCATGCACCTGAAGTCTGCCCAGCTTTGATGTAAGGCATGCACAAATGGAGCTGACAAAATAACCGTCAGAGTTTTGTGCGTGTTCTGTAAGTGCATAGAATTCCTTAATATGGGAGAAGTCTCCGTTGCAGCGGGGATTCAGTTTGTGGAATTGCTCCTTCACCTGTGTGACTCGACTCCTTCCATTAGGAGGAATGCAGCAGCCCTCGTGGGCCCAGGACTCTGTATACATTTCAGGGCATCTAGCTTTAACGTGAGCATACATCAAAGGATCCATTAGTGAGAAGCAGATGAGGTTTAAATTGAAGCTACCTTGTTCGCTCTCTCTGCAATGTCTTCATCCTCCTCTGGAGCATCTGATATCGAAACAATTTCATAGCCATTTTTCTTCAGGTTTCAATTAGTTTAATGTGGCAAATCTGCAGAGCTTCAGTAGCCATCCATGGGAGGGCTTTGCTTAAATGCCAAAATGCCCGTTATTTATGAAAGCAGGGCTTTCATAAATAATGCGCATTCAGATTTACCTCAGAGTTAAGTGATTCACAGTTTGTGGCCTGTTTTGCGTGCTGAGCCATGTAGCAAAACTCAAAGGGAAATAATTTGACAAAGGCTTGCATACTTTGCATAGATTATTGCAGCTGTGGGTAGTGATGGCTATTTGTTTATTTTACTGTTAGATGCCTTATAAAAGTTATCTAGGCATTGTACAATGAATTTAAGGAATAGCAGTCATACACTAAAAGTACACGGTAAGACATAAAATCCAACCCGGCATAAACATCAAACACCAACATAAAAACCCCAATTAAAATAAAAGTACAACTAGATTACAGTATAAATTGCAGAAGCGCGCTGTTGAAGCTGAAAATCTAGCTACTTTCAGGTTCAGCTCTAGGTTTTGCAGAGTCCTTGGGCAAGACACCCTCCCTGAGTGTGGCCCAGGAGGCTCTTGTCAATGGGCTCCCTCAAGACATGTCCAACCATGTCCAACCCTTGACACCAGTCCTGACTATTCTAAGCCTTTAACTAGGGTGGTCCAACACATGGCCCCAGGGCCGCATGGGATCCTTGAGGCTTTTTTGTAGGTCCTCAGCAACAGTTGACGCCCCTCCCCCCTGCCCCAATCCTCACACTTCCCTAGTTAGCGTTTGCCCAGATTGGGGAAGGAGGTGAGGAGGCTGTAGGACCTGCCTGAGCCTTGTGCCTCCTTGCCAAAGTTTGGTGCCTTGCTTACCCAGCATCAAATTTTGGCCTCTCCCCCCATCCTGCCCCATGCAACAAGGCATTGTGCAGCCTGCATGTTCCATGTTGAAGTACTCTTGTGACCCACTTGGAGGGGAAAGTTGGACCACCCTACTTTAAATAGTATTTGCTGCTGCAGGAGCAGCAAAGCTGTTCTTCAGGAACACCATACCCAGAGCTCCTTACCCTTTGCAGGATTGGGCTGTCTGGCCTTTTGCTCACCTCTGAATCTGTTTGTTTCATCTTCCAGAGCAGGCATAGGCAAACTCGGCCCTCCTGATGTTTTGTGACTACAACTCCCATCATCCCTAGCTAACAAGACCAGAGGTCAGGGATGATGGGAGCTGTAGTCCCAAAACATCTGGAGGGTCAAGTTTGCCTATGTCTTTTCCAGAGCTTTATATCGGAATATAGGAAGCACCTTTATACTCAGTCAGGCCATTGGTACATTCTGTAGTGACTGGCAATGGCTGTTCAGGGTCTTTCCTAGGTGTGCCTGGGATCTTTTCCACACAAAACAGCTGCTTTACCACTAAGCCACAGTCTTCCAAAATGCCAAAATCTATTTCTCTCTCTGATTTCACAAGCCCTTCACGTATGTTCATATCAAATATCTCCCCAATGCACAAGCAACATAATTGTCACTCTCTTCCTCCTTTGAATTGCACGGCCACCATATTGCCTTTGAAAATCACCCACTCTTTTCTGTTTGAAGGATTTGTTCACTGGCAGTAGAGAGAGGAAACCTGGTATGAAGAGTGAGAGGAGGGATTCTTTTTTGAAAAAAAATCTGAGAGCTGCCTGGTAGGAATAAGCATCCAAGGGGAAAAAAATTTAAATTAAAGCACACAGAGCATATCTGCCTATGTGCAAATGCTGGAGGAGAGTCCAGCCCAGCAGACTGGTAATTGGAGAGCAGATCCCTATATTCCTTCTGTCTCCAGGCTCTAGGCAGAGTGTTTGCACTGCGTACATAACTCCCAAATTGCCGCAGGGACTCCATTAGTCAGTGTGTGCCCTTAACACACAGAGAGAAGAGATCAACACACACACACACACACACACACACACACACACAGTGTTTGAAAGATAACTTCCCTGTCCTCTCTTCAAAATACTCTGTGCCATATCTCTTACATATCGATGACTAAGTATAAATTCTCAGTTTGTAATTAGCTATATATGTTTCCAGTTTATTGATTTCAGCAGAGTTTTTATGATACTACTGTGGAGATCCAGCCTCCAGCTGCTGGAATCATATTCTGCTTCAGTTTTTTTAAAAAATAAAATAAAGCAAAAGTATGAGAAGATTCCTCTAAGCACTGAATCGACCCAATGGAGCAAGGGAACCCTTAGGCAGTGTTCAGCAGAGCTGCTCTGTTGTCACAGAAGGAAAGGGCAGGCAGAAGTTTCCCATTGGCTGAGCTGCTATGGTTTTTGGGGGGGCGGGTCTTTGGGTTGAGCTGCCCACATCCTAGAGAGAAGCAGGACTACTAAGATGACCAAGGGAAGGGAAGTCAGTGGTGCAGTTAGGTCATTTTTGCAGCAGTATGGTCCTAGGAAAGCAAGAGTCAGAGGCCTGAGATGGCAGCAGACAAAAGGATGCAAGGCTTAGCAAATGTGGATTGAGACTTGGGGTTCATCCCTATGCATTTCAGGCACAGGTGCAAGACGTTTTTCATTTTCCCTGCCACTTTTCCTGGGAAAAGCTGCTGTTTACCTCCGAATCATAACAAATGTCCATCGGGTTTACTGCAGATTGGCATTTGTTCCAATTCAGTGGTAAACTGGGCTTTCCCGGGGAAAGCAAACCAAAAACATCTTGGGCCCATGCCTAGGAAGCACAAAACAAGTGGAAGAACACACAGAACAAGCACAAGTGTGGATGAGCCCCTGGAAGAGAATTGTGTACAAAGATGGGGAACACTAGAAGAAGGATCTGGCATCCAGAAAAGGTACATAATGGAGCTGGAGAGATGAGGAATCACTAAGGATGTACAAATGTGCCTCAATTCACTTCCACTTCCATTCTGCTGCAATTGTTTTGTTTTGCATAACTCCTTCTACCTTTTTTTGTCCATTGATGCAGAAATATACATTTTTTATAATGTGTATATTGGAAATATATGTATGTGTATGTGTGTGTGTATATAATATTGCAAAATATACATGCATATCTCAGCGATCAACATACCTTTCCAAATCTATTTAACATCCCTGTGTGTCCCCCTTCAATGTTAATGGATTTGCAGAGGAATAGCCCTGTTAGTCTTTTGCAGCAAAATTAACAAAGTGCAATGTGGCACCTTAAAGGCAAAGTTAATGGCCCATGGCAAAGCCAACTATGTTGGCAATCCTAACTTTGTCTACAATCACGGAACTGTAGAGTTGCAAGTGACCATGACAGTCATCTACTTCAATCCCCTGCAATGCAGGAATCTTTTGCCCAACGTGGAGCTTGAACCCACAACCCTGAGATTAATAGCCTCATGCTCTACTGACTGAGCTGGGCTTATTTCCAGGTAAATAAACTTGCTATTTTGATTTTACCATTCAATAAAAACTTCATTCTTTCTCTTGCTCACTCAGGCATTAGAGTAGGGCAGTTTTGCACCCTTTTGACACTTCCCCCCCTTGTATCCTTGATTGTATTAATTCCTGTGGGCATATTAAACATTTTACAGACACTCTAATGCCACTTATAAAAGTCCATTTTGTAATGTAACATTTTATTTCCTCAATGTGTATTTTATACAGAAAGTGGTTATGTGTGTGCATGTGCTGGTCTGAAAAGCTCAAGCTATTATGTTTTAATTTGTGTTTGTAGTAAACATGGTGATGTGTTTGACAGCCTGAAATCCTGCAAATTTAATTGAGGAGCACAGGGAAAGTCAACAGGTAATAAACGAGATCATTTATTTCTTGTGAAAAGAACAGTCATGAATGATGCATCTCATTGGTTTTTAGGGTTCACTGTAGGATGTAGCCTCACTTATCTGAAAGTAAGTGCCACTGAATTAAATGGAACTTCCTCCTGAATAAACATAATTAGGGTTGCAGTCTTAGTGCTTATAGGCTGCCTATGGCAGCAAACACACACACACAAAATCAACAGAAAGAGAAGCAATGAGGCCCCAGTTCAGTCGGCAGCAGTTCTGCATCACTTAATAGGTAAAATACATATATATTTATGTATAATGTGGAGAACTGAGTTTCAGATTGCATACCCCACCCCAACTGTCTGGTTTAAAGCGGGACATCCTGGAATCACAGAAGCCAATCACAGCTTCTGTTTGCATCTCAGAATGTCCTGTTTCACTTTGGCTTTATTTATTTATTTTATATACCACTGCATACCCATAGATCTCAGGGCACTTCACAACACACCCTGCTGACAAGCGCCAGAGCATTGGACCAGAAGGTCCAGAGAGCCTTCTGTTCTGGCGCTCTGGTGCCCGTCAGCAAAGTGCCAAAAGTCCAGCTCTCTGGCACGACCCTGCTGTTGAGTGCCAGAGTGCTGGCACAGAGGGTGCACCCCTTCTGACACCCCAATTTTGGGGACGAAAATGTTGGAGGTTATGAGAATAGGAAAGCTGCGAGAAACTGAAATCTGCCCATCCTTAGGATTTGCCTATCCTTAGTTCTGATACAGTACTAACGCCAAACCATGGCATATCTCACTGCAACAGAAAGAACAGGGAAAGAGGAAAGTGAATGCAGTTTTCGCATAGTGTTCTTGCCTTTAAACCATAGTTAAGTTTCATAATGGTTTAAAGAGATCTGCAAACACTGCCACAGACAGTCAGGCTGTAAGTTCCTGATTAAATTGAAATGTGAATCCAAGTTCACTTCCAACATTGTAGCCACTAGATGAAATTAGCTATGTTTTCCCCACTCCTGTTCATCTAATATGTGGACAGAACCGCACCCCATATCTCTTTCACATTTCTCCTAATCCCCAGAGAATAATTAACGGATCTTAAGACTCTTTGGGAAGTGGCAAGAAATAAGGAACTTAGAGGAAGCACAGTTGAAGTAATTATGCCCCTTAATTGCTGCAGGTGTCCTCATGCTCCCTGTTGGAGAGTGGTAACTATGAGACCAACTACAGATGTATCAGCATAAGGACTTACCATTAACACTGGCTTTGGATCAAACATAGAACATACTGGGTAAGGGAATTATTCATCAAAATACATATTACTTTTTCAATAAAAAAAGAACCACAAGAGCTCTTGTTAAATGGGTTTGTTAATTAGATAAAGAAAAGTATTGCGTTTTGCTAAATTTTATCACATACAAGCAGTTTGCTTCAAAAAGCAAGTTGTTTGCTTTTTACTTATGTTGCTTTCATCAAAAAGGAAGGGCCTTATTGATGCCTTTCGAAAGCTATATGGGCAATACCCAACAATATACAATCTGGTATGTATGCTAACCATCGACCCATTAATTTGTGACTTCTTAGAGAGCTTTTAAAATAAAACATGGAGGACTGATTTGAATCTTGCAGGTTTTAATCCCCTCCCCCTAGCAGAATACCTGTGGTTTACACGGCATGAACAAATCCAAAAATGAGAAAATGTATTCTAAAATAGTTTTGAATACAATTATACACACACCCACACACACCCACTCTCGCACACTCACTGTAGAAGAAGAAGAAGAAGAAGAAGAAGAAGAAGAAGAAGAGGAGGAGGAGTTTGGATTTGATATCCTGCTTTATCACTAACCGAAGGAGTCTCATAGCGGCTAACATTCTCCTTTCCCTTCCTCCCCCACAACAAACACTCTGTGAGGTGAGTGGGGCTGAGAGACTTCAAAGAAGTGTGACTGGCCCAAGGTCACCCAGCAGCTGCATGTGGAGAAGCAGAGACGCGAACCCGGTTCCCCAGATTACGAGACTACCGCTCTTAACCACTACACCACAGTGGCTCTGTAGTCTTTCCAATAACTATCTAGGACATACAGTGGGACACAACAGACTTAGGAAAGAACACATGCAATACTAACCAGATTGAGTCTTCCATCCCTAATGTTTCCTTCTAGCTCCTCCTTGTTCAGAGTTTTGAGTCAGATGCCTGAAATCTAACCTAGGACATGCTACTTGCAAAAAAAAGGGTGGCGTGGGGGTTGTAGGTAGCATGCAGTTCCTAGTTTTTCAGTGTTCTCTGCTTTCTGGAGATGCAAAGGATTGTGCTAGGGAAAGAACTGGAGTGACTTTGAAAGAAGGCTAGTTTACCAGAAAAGCGATGCCACCTAAAGGCACAAGTAACATTTTTATCTCTGATAAATGAGAGCTATTGCCTGAACAACTGCTACTAGCATCAGATTTGGTGAAAATAATAATGTGAACTGAAGTGCAGGTAGCAAAGAGATGCTGTAAACTGCGAGGGCAGCTGGAAAATGATAATCTTCAGTGACATTTTGTTGCCACTGGAAAGTTATATAAAAAAATAACCTATCCGCCTTGGGCTTTCCTGTGAAGATAAAAAACAATATCAACCGATATATAACAATCTTTTTTAAAATCTCTGTTTTTCCTTCTGTATGTCTGCATTTGCAGATCTTATCAGTTAACTCTTAAATTGTCTCAGTCTCTTATTTTAGACTCGGTCTTCTGTTTTAACTTTGATTTACACTGACCGACACAAACACTACTACAACAATGCAGTAAATAAGCTGTTGAGTTATGGTTTTCTTGCTGTGTGAGAGAAATTAGTTGTACAACAATCGTATGGTTTAGTGGGGACATGGGACCCCACGACTTGACATCTTTCTTTAATGAAATTCATGCAACTATTAGATAAGTTCTTCTTAGCAGAATCTAAGTGGCCTGAGACCACTGGTCTACTAAAGTCCAGATTTGGTCCTAATTTGTTATCGGACTGTTTGAAACTGCTTTAGGGGTGGCAAAAGTTAGAAAGCAAGATATGCCACAAATCACACAGAAAGGGTGGGGTTAGACCACACTCCATTTATATTAAAGACATTCATCCTGCTATGTTTGCACAAAGTTTGTGGGGTGGTTGGATGAAACTGGATGTTTGTTGAACATCCATACTAATAGGTTTGCAGGGAAGTTATACAATGTTGCATCAATCAATTGTTATCCCGTTGTTTTCTCGTTCCTTATTGCAAAAAGTCAGATTTTGAGGGAGGTATGTTTCTTGCGCAAGGGTGCTAAGTCAGCTTGAATTGCACAACTAGAATTTACCAGTATTGAATCCCACCCACCCTGGAAATGCCCCCAGACCTGCTTAGCTTCATCAATATGGTTGAATCATATGCTTTTGTGTTTTACCCTGGGCCTTTTGTGCTTGCAGTTATATTTCGTTTTTTAATTTCTGTGACCTCAACATTTTCATTACCCATACTTGAGCATATCTCATTCTATAACACATCAACAGGTGACGAAAATAATGAAGGAATCAATCCAGTCTACGTATTCTTACAGTGGGTGGTACTCACCCACCCAGATTTTACTCAGAGCATACCCACAGAAATTAATGAACACGACTATATTAGGTACATTAATTTCAATGGGTTTGCTCTGAGTAAAAGGTAGTTGACAACAAAGCAAAAAAAAAGGGGGGGTGAAGGGATGTGCCTATCACAAATTTCACCCCTCTACTACACTCCCAGATAGAGTGAGCTACAGCAGAGACATCAACTTGCCAACAAAGGTCCATACAGTTAAAGCTATGGTTTCCCCAGTAGTGATGTATGAAAGTGAGAGCTGGACCATAAAGAAGGCTGATCACCTAAGAATTGATGCTTTTGAATTATGGTGCTGGAGGAGACTCTTGAGAGTCCCATGGACTGCAAGAAGATCAAACCTATCTATTCTTAAGGAAATCAGCCCTGAGTGCTCACTGGAAGGACAGATCCTGAAGCTGAGGCTCCAATACTTTGGCCACCTCATGAGAAGTGAAGACTCCCTGGAAAAGACCCTGATGTTGGGAAAGATGGAGGACACAAGGAGAAGGGGATGACAGAGGATGAGATGGTTGGACAGTGTTCTTGAAGCTACCAGCATGAGTTTGACCAAACTGCAGGAGGCAGTGGAAGACAGGAGTGCCTGGCGTGCTCTGGTCCATGGAGTCACGAAGCGTCGGACACAACTAAACGACTAAACAACAACAACAAACCACTGGCATTTATTTGGCCAGAAGTAGCTGATTTTTAAAGCCTGAAATGGAGCATTCCTGGGGTGGGGTGGAAGGTTAGAGGTCCTCTTCACCAGCCTGGAGCAAACATAACTAATACCTTCCTCCACCCTGGAACCAGTAGGTGGTTTATTGAAAAAGATCTGTGCAGAGAAAATGGCAGCTCTCTCCCCTCCCCCTCCCCATATTTCTATATGTTAGTAATATCTTAAAGTGCTCCTAGAAATATGCTTGATGAAGATTCCACGAGAAAGGAAGTGCTGTAGCTCTGTATAGCAGCTATAGGGTAGCACTATCCATTAATCTTGCAAAGCAAGCAGTGTGCTTAGTTGTTATAGCCTTTCTC